CTGAAACGGGAGCCCGTCCTTCAACGCGAACTTTGTGTGCTTTTTATCCTTAAAGGAAGAGCGAAGGAGGAGCAGAAAATGAAACTGAAACTATGATGATACATAGAATATGTCCTGTTTGCTGTTACTCTGCACTTGTTTGGTTTTTTGTCAGTCCACTTTCATCTCCACTGAAATAACACAAATGTTTTGTCTACCTGAAAAATGACATGTTAACACAGCTTGTGTATTCAGACATGAGACAAACCACATCCTCCTCATCCTCCAGCAGTTACAAATGAGGAAGCACCAAAGCTAAAAAGTCCAGCTGTGGGGTCAGCAGCTGCATCGATTGATTGGCTTCGCTTTGTGTTTGTTCCTTAAAGAGAACCAAAGCTGAAAATATCAGTGACAATGTCTTCATGCTCTCCCCGGCAGACAAATTGTACTCCTCTCATTCTTTCTCTCCTGCCCCCTCAGATATGCAGCAGCAAAGCACAGAGTGAGTTATAGTGGCTTATAAGCAAAAATCCATAAACTGCAGCCAAACTGACAAATGATCCTCGACTGATTTCCTCAGGGGGAGGCCGCGTCTGAGCGAGCGCGTCTGAACTGACTCTGTTTAAATTTTTATCACATAACCAGCTTTTCTTCACCCCGAGTGAGGAAGAAGATAAAAGCACCAAGTGGCTGATATGACGTGAATCCCTGAGGCAGAAAGCTGACAGAGAACTGACCAATCACAGCGAGCAGAGAAAGAATTTACATCAACCCTGTCATGACGGGAAACTGGCAAACATCACTCAGCTTCCTCCATCGGTCTGTGCACACATGAAGCTGACAGCTGGACGTTGTGAATTCTCTGAAGCTGGAGTTTAAATGTGCTCCATCAGTACGTTCCTGACCTCCAGGCGACACCATCAGGCTGTCACCTGACTTCAATCAGGAGGTCAGATCAGGTTATTGACCAGCAGGTTCATTCCGACTGCTTCACTGCCATTTTGATTGTAAAAGATTCATACCGAAGAGCTGTGAATGAGCGGAAAACCAGGTTTAAAGCCTTTTATTGAGTTTTTATACAAACAGCAAAATAACCGTAAGCAAAAATTTCAGGGCTCATCATCATGTGGGACAGGTGTTCATTCTGAGTCCGCGGGGTCAGCGCTCACAGGTCCCGTCTTTACCCCGCCCCTCTCCCCGGTTCTCATGGGCGGTGGATCTGTATTATTCGTGTAGGCTCTGTTGACCGTGTCCAGCCACCAAACGTTCACCAGTCAGCTTGACTCTCTGGATCGAGGAGGGCAAGGGCCTGCAGCTCCCACTCATCTCAGTCCCACCCCACTTTGTTTTATTTTTCTTGTCTAACTTATCATTTACTCAGTGGCTCGTGCTCAATAAGCTGTGTTACGCATTTATTACCTAATAATTAGAGACAGCTGTTAAAGTATTATTTTTGGCTGAAGAGGAAAGGCCATATAACGAGTGAAACAGAAACCAAGAAATGTGGTGTGTTTGCATAAAACAGTGGCAAACAGTCCGATCCATCTCACTCAGCGCTGGCATCACGCAGCGTGACCGTGAGCCTTCGAGTAAATAGAACAAATTATCCAAGTGGAAATAACTCGTGTTTGTTTCACTGACCACTTCATGAATGACAAATGAGTCTGAAAAAACATTAGAACTGGTATTAATCATCATTATTATTGTTGCTTCCCTTTAAGTGAATCAGCAGTGCTCTCATAGCGCAGAATGAAGTTGCAGCTTCATATTTCTGTGTGTGAACGTGAACTGCGTGAGGAAGGAACCTTCTGTTAATGAGCTGCCGATGAGTTTATTGTGGTGTGCATGCGGAGCCCCCGAGGACCATGCAGCTCAACCCAACATGCTCTGAAAGGCGAGGCTGGTGCGTTTATCGTGGAAGCTCGATACAGAGATGATTTCAGGCTTACTCCGCCGAGTCGCCGCCTCAGCTGCTTCAGCAGCTCCAGCAGCTCCTCTCTGCCTGATAAACGAGTGCCAGTGATGGATGGCAGGGATAAGGAGGCTTTAATGCATCTGAAGCTGCAACAAGATTCACTAATCAGATAAAACTCTACACACACGTGTTATCCTCTGATTTTCCAAAGATTTGTAGGAAAGTGAAAGAACAAAAATGAAAGGGTTAATTAGCCACAAGCTCAGATGATATCTGCAGGAAGTGTTTTGGCTTTGATTAGAACAATAACCGGATGATATGTGTGACTGAGACAGGATGTGCTGGTGTGTAGATGTGCTGTACAGCAAAGTAAGTTTTAATAAATACATTAGAGACATGGAGCGCCATTATCTACTTATAGTTTTAAAATCTAATAAAAATATCAAATACAAAGCAGTTGCAATGCGACCTTTCAGCGTTCAAAACAACACTAATTTTATATAGAGAGTTTTGTGCTGCCTGAGTGTGCCGACACTACAAACAGGGAGAAATGACGCTAATTAAACACGGAAACACACAAACTGATAAAAACAAGGGGCTCTGCGTCCACAAAAATCCCAGCCTGCAGACTTCTGCATTCAGAGAGACTCGTTGAGAAATAATTCAACTTTTGGAGCACTTTTAGTGCTGCCAGGGGGATGGGAGAGGGCTGAAAATCTAGGTTTTGTGTATTTGTCACACTGACATGTTTCAGATAAAAGAAAGGACAAAACAACTATGTGAAAGAGACTGGGAGCAGGAGCTACTCCTTTTAAGCAGTTACTAATGAGGTTGATGGAAGTCGGGTAGCCTCGCTGAAGACTGGGAAACTCAGAATGCCTGCTCAGCCAACCCTTGATTGAGAGTGTAACACCAAACACACCAGTCTGAACCATGAGAGAAGAACTGTGATTTCAGCCACGCTACAGGGTTTTCCAGCGTGAACAACATGCCACTACAATGATGCCAAAGCCCTGCAGTTTGATTAAAGTCTAAACTTTGACTTGCACACTTTTGAGATATTCAGAGGTGGACCTGCTGATGTGTTTCTGATCCTTGTTCTGCTGCGTAGTCCGAGTGCTTTTGACCTTCAGACAATGAACTGATAATCAGACCGTCTCCTCCAGGATTTTATGGTAGATAGTAGAATTCGGCCCAGACTATCACAGTACCACCACCTGCTACTGTGATGTTGTCTTCATGAAATGCTGTTATTCTGATGGCCAATGTAACCGGACCCAGATGTCTCAGTGATCATCCAGATGATTGTTTTTGGTCAGCAGCGGTTTTCCCCTTCAACTCTCCCTGGAGGCCATTTTTACCCAGTTATTGTTGAATCATGACCGCTGACATCTTTAGATCTTGTTGGTCTTGGTCTTGGTCTTCTATGCAGTGTTGGTCAAGTTACTTGAAAAAAGTAATCAGTAACTAATTACTGATTACTTCCCCAAAAAAGTAATCCCGTTACTTTACTGATTACTTATTTTCAAAAGTAATTAATTACTTAGTTACTTAGTTACTTTTTAAAAACACGATTTACAACCTGAATAGGTGATAAAGCGATAGATCTTTCAGCCCAATTCTACTTTTTCTACATAATCCATCATACAAAATGTAATCAAATGGAAAATTCTCTTTTTTTAACTTGTTTTATCAGTTTTAATCTTTTAACTTTATGCATCAAACAAAAATTTAATTATATGCACCATTCTCTGACTTGAATAAATTAGTTTAACATTTAAACCTATTTTCTACACATTCCAGCACATAAAATAAAATATTTTTTGTGTGTTTACACTCACTCTTTCAAATAGATGCAAGTAAAACAGCAGAAAATAAATAAAGTCAAAGACTCAGCGGTCCTGTTGCTCTATTTTCACCTGTAAAGCAGGACTGCGGTAGGCGGAGGTTTACCCTGGTGAAGGTGTGCCGCGGTCAGTTGAAGAATCCGCGACTTTCTCTGTGAATTTCCCATTACGTCGTTGCGCACTCGGTGCTTGCTTGGAAGTTTAGGGGGTTTTTTTCGCTGTGAAAAGAAGTTTTCTTCCCACGCACAATGGACGCTAATGTTTTTGCCACTTTTTATGGAATCAAACTCAAAGTAAGGTCAGTACTTCCACGCTTTAAATGCTGCACGCTCATACTCTCTCCCACAATCGATATATTATCCATTGTTGATCTGCACACAGCTGTTGTCACCAGAGATGGGCAGTAACGCGTTACTTGTAGAAAAAATACCAACTAAAAGTGGTGTCAAGCTGCCCCAGAGAAAGTCATTTGTAGGATACCTTGAGAGAGAATATGACAAAATGAACTCTAACTTGAAGGCTACACTCGAAGAGGCAGAGTTGTTTCCACCACTGCTGACATCAGGACGGTAAATAATAAAAGTTTTATGGGTGTAACAGTTCACTGGATTAATTCCACATTACAACGCAACAAGGCCGCTCTAGCATGCAAGAGAATTAGAGGCAGCCATACCTATGATGTAATTGGAGCAGAGATTGAAGAAATCCATTCATCATATGGACTACAAGGCAAAGTTATTGCCACTGCAACGGATAATGCATCCAATTTTGCCAAAGCATTCAGAGTATGTCAGCCCTGTCATTTGGAGTCTGAATCTGAAAATGAAGAAGGTGATGACGAGGAACCGACCTTTACTGATGTCATAGAAGCTCTTTCCACTGCATCTGGTGATGCACAGTTTAGCCTCCCTCCACACTACAGATGTGCATCGCACACAATTAACTTGATTTCAACAAGCAATGTTGACAAACATCTAAATTCCTGTGCAGACACCAAGGCTGTATATAGGAGTAGCATTGCAAAATGTTCTGCTCTTTGGACTAAAGCAAGTCGATCAACATTAGCCTCTGAACAGGTGGAGGAAGTCAGTCGGAGGAAACTAATGGTACCGACATCCACAAGGTGGAATTCCCTGTATGAGGCCATTTCTAGAATCATCACAATTCCCTTGAATGAACTTAATCCCCTGTGTGTAAAACTGGGAATCAAGTGCCTTAATGAAAGGGAGTACCAGTTCTTGAAAGAGTACTGTACTGTGATGAAGCCCCTGACAGTGGCTCTGGACATCTTACAAGGGGATGAGTGCACCTACGGGGCTTTACTGCCAACACTCACAAGCCTGATGTCAAAGATGAAAGATGACCTCTCTAGAATGACAGCCAGCCTTCCAGATGTCATTGTAAAGGTAAGATTATTATTAATTGCCTTGGGTGGATTTGTTAAATTTATTATACCATTCACAGTGGGTGGATGTTATACTTTGTTTTAAGCAGCGGGTACAATTATTAAAATGATAGAATAAAAGACCAAATATTCACCCCTTGTTAAATATCAGGGACATTGATCATCATTAATCATGAATATTAATCATAATATCAACAAAAGCCTCAGCCAAAATTAAATCTCATACAGTATTGATAATAGAAAATATAGATGGTTTAGAGCTGTAAAGCCCACAAAATAATGACAATAGGTAATTATATAGTAAAATAATTTTATTCTTAGTTGCATCATATTGTATGTTACAGGCCATCAAGACTCGTTTTGATGCTGTTCTGGACAGCCAAGAAGGACTTCTCGCAGCGGCCACTTGTCCCAAGTTTAAACTTCGTTGGCTGAGAGATGAGCGTAGGAGAGAGTATGTGAAGGAGCTCCTGATAACAGAGTGTCGTAAAGCTGCTCCTGCAACTGAGAACACTAATGTGTCCCAAATCCCAGCCAGCCCAGCCGAAATGGACTTTTTTGAATTTCAGAATCAGCCCACAGAAAGCTTCTCAGCAGAAAAAGAAGTAACTGACTTTTTAAGGTCAGGCTATGAGCTTGAGATTCTGAATCAGTTCCCAAATCTCAAAAAGATGTACATGAAATACAACAGTCCAACTCCATCCAGTGCACCAGTGGAACGGCTGTTCAGTTTAGGTGGATTGGTGCTTTCCCCAAAAAGGAACAGAATGTCTGATAGAAGGTTTGAGAAGCTTCTGCTGATGCGATATAACAGAGCGTTCTCACTCCCGAGGCGTAACATGTCGACGTTTTGTCACATCCCGCGGCGTTCCTGAGGAACGCGAAAGGAGACCTTCGGCGTTCTTATGGTACGCGGCGGGTTATGGCTGGAATCCAGTGCAATGACGCTCCCGCGGGAGTAGACGTTCCAGCCCTGTATTCCAGCCCTAAACCTAACCTTATCCCTAGCCCTGACCATAACCTTATTCCTGACCTTAACCAGGACTTTAATGATGTTAAATAGCGTGTTTCTAAGCGATTTGAAGAATAAGAGCGAACATGTGTAGGTTCATTCCAGACGGTTCTCATATTTCCTCTTTTTCCGAGGTCGTCATTTAGGAACGTGGTGGGTAGCCGAAAACGTAATATGGTGACGATTTGTCACCTAGCGTAAAATGTTACGCTTTGGGAGTGAGAACGGGTTGGATATAACCACTGTTTCAGTCCAAAAGAAAACAATAAAACATAGGTCTTTTTCAGGGTTGCCACAAACTGAGACTGGATTAACAGCCTGAATGTAGCATGCAATAGCATTTTCTGTTTTTGTAATCTCAATATTATGCCTCTCTGCACTTTACCAACTGTTAAAAGATGTTATTGTTAATTTTATTTATTTATTTTTTGCTGTATTTATATGAAAGGATGTGTGTGTGTATACACAAAAATAATTTATGTTATATGCTGGAGTATGCAGAAATACAGTTTAAGCCTTTATTTTCTTAAAATATGGTGTAATGTGCAGAAATATGTTCAAATGTTAAACAAATTTATTAAAGTCAAAGACTGTTGAATTTAATTTAATTTTTGTTTGATGCACTGTTTATAAAGTTAAGATTAAAAGTAATAAACAATTTTTTAAAAAGACACTTTTCCATTTGATTCACTTTTATATGATGGATTATGCAGAAAAAATAGAATTGGCCCAAAAGGTCTATTGCTTTATCACGCATTCAGGTAGTGTATCATGTTTTTTTAAAGTAACTAAGTAACTAAGTAATTAATTACTTTTGAAAATAAGTAATCAGAAAAGTAACGGGATTACTTTTTTGAGAAGTAATCAGTAATCAGTAACTAATTACTTTTTTCAAGTAACTTGACCAACACTGGTTGTCACGAGCGTCGCACTTGCTTACGTCACTGTCGTGAGACATTCTCGCAAAAAAAATCACGGTTTTAGTAACGCAGTAACGCAGCATTCCTACGGGAAAGTAACGGTAATCTAATTACTGTTTTTGCAATAGTAATCCCTTACTTTACTCGTTACTTGAAACAAGTAATCAGATAACAGTAACGCGTTACAAGTAACGCGTTACTGCCCATCTCTGCTTCTATGACCTCCTGGATGAGTCGTTGATGTGCTCTTGGAGTGATTTTGGTTGGCCGGTCGCTCCTGGGAACGTTCTGGATAGGTGTTCTCCATGTGTGGATGGAGCCACAGAAATGCCTCTTTAACCTTTCAGACTGGTGATGTTACTGACTGATTCTGTTTTTTTTTTAAGATTGAGATCTTCTACTTGACTTTATCAGACAGGTGCTGTTTAACCCTTTAAAACCGGTCAGAGCGGGCACGCTCCATTTTGCGCAACTACTTTTAAATCCTTGTAGAACTGCAACCACATAAGCTACCGTAATAATTTTTTTTGCATATGAAACCGGAGGAGTTGTACTTACATCTTATGCCATCAGCTTGTCCTCGGTCACAGTTTCCTTCCACATATAGCTTTGCAAAAACTGCATAAAAAGCTCTTGCAGCAACAAAAACATAATATTCCAGAAACACGCTTTGCCGATCCGACCAGCTGTTCATAATACTTCCTACGTTAGAATAGACGTCAGCGTGAACTATCGCATGTCCGCAATTACCTGCCCGAAACCGGAAGGAACGTAATTTTCGCGGAAATGTAGTTTTTTACCATCAGGGCCTCATGAGCCTATACTGGTGTTTTTAAAAGTTATGTTTGACTTTCTGACTTTCTGTGTCGTTTCTGGGATGCTTAGGTCTCATATTGCACTGCTGGAAATAGTTTATTCTGATGCATGTGCTGTTTTTTTGCAAGTTTGCACTATAATATTTATTTTCGTTTTTCCTGCAGTATATAAAAATTTGTGTATTTCAAAAATAAAACTATGAAGACACTCAAAATAAATTTCCTGTGGTGGGAAACTATTTTGTGCAACTTTTTTGTATTTACAGTTTTGAGGGATAAGCCTCTTAAATTTCTCTAACTAGAAATATATGTTAAAAAAACAAAAACGATTTTGAATTTTTTGTAGTTTATTGCACTTTCTTGCAATTTATGTAATTTCTATGCACTTAATGCATACACATTATTAAAATTTGGGCTATAATGGTTGTATTGATGTATAGCAACTTGAAATGCTCCCAAAAATGGCACTACAGCATGTAAAAATATAATATAAGCTCTGGCGGACTTGGTTCTATGGTAGGCCTTAAAGGGTTAAGTGATTCAGCAGTAATCACTGTGGGGTGAACTTATCTCTGTGCCTACGGATGGTCCAGCAGTGAAAGAGCTAAAAGATTGAATTTTGTCAGCATTATTTTCTTGGTTTTAGGTAAAGACTGTGTGATAGAGATTGCCCCCAAAAATCACGTTCAGATAGAGTTATGAGGAGTCTGATGGTGAGATGCTTCTGTTTAAAGGTGATAAATAAGCCTTGGCAATGAAGATCAATGCAGTCTAGTAACAGGACATTTAAAACCATAGCAGGGGGTCCAAGGGTAAATATTAGGGCTGGGTATCGTCACTGATTTCTAGAATCGATTCAATTCCGATTCACAAGGTCCCGAATCGATTCGATCCTCGATTCGATTTAATTCGATTCGATTCGATTCGATTCGATTTGAATCTGGGAAATTTTGACAGTCAGAAATATTATAATTCAGATCAGTACATTTACATATTCTTGTATCTATTAAAAGGAAGCTGACACACGCAAGACTTTATCAAAGGTGTGAGCATCACAGCAGAGGCCTTTGTGTCAAAGTAGCTGAAGATAAAACACAGAAAAACATGAAGGTGATTTTCCTGGCCTGGGATTTTATAAAAATAATCTGCAGTACATCAAAAACGAAAGAAAACCATTAATCAACACATGAACATTACCTCTGAAGTTACAGCGGTTTTATTAGAGACACGGCTAAGCGTTTTGCATTTTGCTTAATTTTAAAAAGTTTAAATTTGTTCAATATTGAACGGCAGAAATTAGGTTTACTTTTCGGAAGTAAGTAAAAGGGGGAAAAAACGTCGGCCAACAGCGCTGTAAACAACGGTAGACTTGTGCGTAACAAGCAAGCGCATAATGCAGAAAAGAGAGAGAGAGAGAGAGAGTGAGAGAGAGAGAGAGCTGTGCATGAAGTGTGATTTTTATCCTGAAAAGTCAGCAAAAGTCAGAGGGAATTCATGACGATGTTTATGTGAAGCGTAGTTTGGATCTTCTTTTGCTGCTGATTCGGTCAATATTGTTTGGAGAGAGATAAAACTAACAGCCATATGATCAGCGCAAAAAGGGCGTAAACACACAGCGCGGACCCGCGGATCAGAATCAGCGAGCTGTCGGCTTTCAGCCCCGACCGTCAGCTGAGAAAGGCGACATCTCACTGATTCTGATCCGCGGGTCCGCGCTGTGTGTTTACGTCTTTGTGCAGAAGCCGTGTTCCTGCTCTTATTTACTGTCTTAGCTGTTTGGTGGTTGTTAAAATTTTGTGATCTTTCACCTGAGATTCTGGCATTTCGGGCAAAATAAATTAATATTAAAAAATCGATTCAGGATTTTAATGAATCGATTTTACATTATCCAAGCCAGAATCGATTTTAATAGATAAATCAATTATAAAAACCCACCCCTAGTAAATATCCTCAGAAGTCCAGAGGAAGAGGCTTTTCTTAATGAAACATTTAAAGGAAGCTCTAAAAATCAGGTCATGGATGCTTAAAACACTGAGACTCTGATGACATGACTGAAGAAATGTAGAGGAGGGTTGAATTAACCCAGTTAAACTTAAACCTCCTCATAATGATGGTTGCCTCATCAAAACAGTGGATGGATGCTGTTTTTAGTCTTAAATGTGTGACCTGTTTCAGTTTTTTTCCTCCTGTTAAAACTGTTTTAATCAGCGTGAGTTTAAAACTTTTGCCAGCCTCCTCCTCCTCCTCCTCAGCCCTCAGAGGGAAATAAAGTCCTGTGGAGGTAATTACCTGCTGTAAGACTTCATCCTCTGATTGCGGCATTACTCTCTAATCTCTAATCGGCTGAATTACCCACAATCCCCTCTGGTTATTTCTCTTTTTTTGACCCGATCACCACACTGCTGCACTGCTTTATTAACACTGCATTAAACCCCACAGGAGGCTAACGGCCACAATTTACCTGATCAGAGTTTGCCGACTCAGAAGGTTTATAATGACTGCAGGGAATCATGGGAAATTGAGGCTTTAAGGAGGGAGAGGAAATGATGGAAGCAGGAAGTGAAAAAACTCATCTCACAGTAGAGCTGTTTTAAAGGGGGAAATGATCTATAGCGACCGAAACTGTTTGTGTATCAGGATGTTTATTTCTGCTGTGAAGTTTCAACATGGGAGTCTATGAGGACTGAGTCAGTGCTGCCCCTGTTGGATGCCAGAGGAACTGCAACTGCTGTTGTAGTGCTGGCTTTGTTTTTCACCTGACATCAATAAAACGTGACTGTTTTGCTTCTACCATACCCCCATACCCCCCCCCCCCCCCCCCCCACACACACACACACACACACCACCACCACCTTTCTTGAGTGACTTTGCCAGGTGTTCACCAAGTTGTTGTTCCAAGTCACCTATTGGCAAAGGTTCACCACAAAACTAAGCCAGATGGAGAAATCTGGTGTAGACCCTTACCCTAAAGCATAAAGAGTATGATACAGCTGGATCCTCCATCCATCCATCCATCCATCCATCCATCCATCCATCCATCCATCCATCCATCCATCCATCATTTCCTATTCATCCATGTATCCATCCATGCATCCATCTGTTCATCCATCCATCCAATAATGCATATTATTAAGAAGCACAATACTTACTGAGTGAGGAGAATGATCCAAAAGACATGTCCCCACATCCCTCCAGCAGTGAGTTGGTCCCCATAGGCTCCCAACTTTCCAGCAGAAATAAACGTAATTACATCCTGATACACAACATTTTTGGTTTATATAGATAATTTAACCCTTCCTAACACATGTACGGTTTTTATAACTTACCTGTTTAAATTGTATTGAGGGTCAAAGTTTGCATTATTAGGGATGTGGCCTTGTTGACTTTGTGGCAAAACAGGGTGTAGCTGCTAATTGTAGTCCCTGAACTGAACTTGGTCTTTTCATGTATTCCTGTCCTCCGCACTCCCCTTCCTCCATCACTGTCATGTGACTTTATCTCCAAGTCCTTCAGACCAAGGACACATCAGAGTGGGACTAAAGTGAGCTCCAGGGGACAAACACAAAGTGGTCTCTAATGTGCTCCAGAGGTTTCCTCCTGCTGTCAGCTGATTCAGGATTTACTGACCACAGCAGACTCTCTGAGCTGAGCATTTTTGCTCCAGATACACAAAGCAGTGAGTTCTGCCTCCTGTGGAAGCTTTAATTGGACCTGCGGCTATAAATGATCAGTGAGTTTTCTCCTTTGAGAGCGGGAGTAAAAATAGAAGAAGCTTTTTCTGTCTGGACACAAAGCAGAGGATTATTTATTCTCAGTGTGTCTGTTTCCAGGCTCCACTTTGTATTTGTTAATGTCTCTGAACTGCTCATTTTATTCTTTGAATCTATTTTTATTGAATGTTGTGTAATTTGATGGATTTGTGTGGATGTTGGTGGATTTAGCTTTCCTTGTAACGCAGCGCTTTAAAGGCGCTGAAGTCCAGTCACTGTAAGCAGAAATCTGGTTTTATTCTGGAGTTCATTTATTCTGTGGAGCTCTGAGAGACCTGCTCACATGTTGTTGGAGGCGTGTGTGCGGCACTCATGTGTTTTAGCTGCTGTGTTGTTCTTGCGCAGATTTGCCGGTGAAGGAAACAGCAATGACATCTGTTGGCACGGGAAGTTTAATGTGGTGGAGAAGCAGCGAGCTGAGCCTCGGGCTGTCAAGCAGATGTCTGCAGTGTTGTCGTGGTGTCATTACAGGCTCAGGAAGAACTTGTTGTGTTTGAGCCCTCGGCTCATCAATCTTTAACTGATAGACCTGCAGACTGTGTGTTCAGGGTCGCTGCGGTTTACAGGACAGGAACCATGGCTGGGCGTCTCACTGGGTCCTGAAACAAACAAACCAATAACCCAATCACTGGGTGCTGTCACAGTTCATATGGTAATAAACATGCCAACATCACACACACACACACACACACACACACACACACACACACACACACACACACACACACACACACACACACACACACACAAACAAACAAACAAAGCTGATAAAAAACTTGAACATTTAATCCCACCACAGAGTGGAGGAGCCTTTTAAAAATGCATCCAGAGGGGAGGTGAAAGTTTGTTTGGACCTGAATCATTCAGTCTTTCAGTAAAACCTGCTGCTCACCAAAAACTGTTAATGATTCATAAATCTGCTTCCTGCTCAGGGACACGACAGACAGTTTGATTCGAAACATGCGATGTAACCTGTAGAGTTTGGATCTTTTGTTGCTAAATCTTGACTTTTGTCAGCCTGGCTAGTAAATCTACCCTCTCTCTGTCTGTAATGACTTTCCAAGCATGAAAATGACTCCAACTTCCACCAAACTAATGCAATCAAACACAGCTGAAGAAATGAAGTCATCATTACAGGAACAAAATGCATGTCTTGGTGTCGGAGATGTCTGATCTGCAGTCTAGTCCCACTACAGCTGATTGATGTGATTACATGTGGTCATTTTTCCAGATGGATGGATTGATGTGCGCGTCTGACACACCATAACAGCCTATCAAAACTCAACGCTATTCAGCGACTTCAATTGATGAATTGTGAAATAACCGCTGGCAGTTAACTAGGCAACTGAGGCCTGGACTGTCCACAAGTGGGTGCTGGCAGAGTAATGGCAAAGGTTTTTTATCCCATCTCAGACAACTTTGATCAATTCGATGGTGGCTCGTCATCTTTATGGTGATAGTTGGTCACTAGTGGACATTCAAACCTCAGGTTGATATATTTATTTAAGCTACACCACAACTTTAAAGTGCTACCCCCTTGTGGTCATAGATTTATGTACTTTTCCTTACAACCTGACCCTTTGAAGAAGAAACCACAGACTGAAGTGAATGGAGCTGTATCCAAACTTCATTTCCAGATGGTAGTTCTGCAGGTGGCTGCGAGTGGAAATGAGACACAAACAATGGAGAAGCTCTGTGGAGTCATAAATATTAAATGTGATTGAATGCTGGAGTGAAAAATGTTCCAGAGTCTGCACATGGTGAGCTTCTCTGTCTGAATCTCTCCAGCAGCACTGCAGCATCCTGTCTCTTCACACGAGCTGCTGCAGACCCCAGGGGCTGAAGGGAAGGAGGCGGAAGCTTCACATCACACCTTCTGTTTTCAGAGATCGACCTGGAACCTCAATTGAAGCAGGTTCGATTGGTGTAGCA